ATATTCATTTAAATTCATTGTATTAAATAAAAAGTTGAACATAATACAAATATATATATAAAAAAAAAAAACTGTTCATTTTAGTTTTTGATTTTTGGCCAAATACATCCTAGATTTTCGGTTTCGGTCCAAGAATTTTCATTTTGGTGCACCACTAATCAAAATAAAGTACAGCAAGGAAGTAAAAATGCCAACATCACACGTTACAAAAAAGTCTACAAAATTGTCCGCTTGCTGAAAATACAGTAAGCCGACAATCTACTGGATTGCCCAATAGATCAAAACACTGTACACCACTTTAGGTCATGAAATGCATCAACGCTTAAAAAGCATCACTTGCTCTTGTGTGTCGTACTATTGGACTCTTTTTTTTTTTTAGTTTATTTGTGTGGGCAGCACAGTGGTTAAATGGTTAACACTTCTGCCTGGGAGTACTAGGGTCATTGGTTTGAATCCCAACCACAGCACCAACTGCCTGGAGTTTGCATGTTCTCCCCATGCCTGCGTGGGCATTTACTCCGGGGTACTCCGGTTTTTCCCCCCATACTCCAAAGACATGCTGGTAGTTTAATTGGATCCTGTCTAAATTGGCCCTAGTATGTGTATGTATGAATGTAAGTTTAGGGACCTTAGATTGTACTCTCCTTGAGGATTGGGGACTGATGTGAATGTACAATATATATATATATATATATATGCATAAATTGACAGCTCTATATAAGTACCTGTAACAAATATTTAAAAAATTATATATATTATATAGGAAATATATACATTTGCAAGAAAAAGTATGTGAACCCCTTGGGATTACTGGAGTTTTTCCATGAATTGGGCATAAAATGTGCTCTGAACGTCATCTAAGTCACAACAATAGAAGAACACAGTCTGCTGAACATAATACTACACAAACATTAGATGTTGCCATGGTTTAAAAGTACATAACATGTAAACATTCACAATGCAGGAGGAAAAAGTATGTGAAAGCTTTGGACTTAATAACTGGTTGACCCTCCTTTGGCAGCAATAACCTCAACCAAATGTTTCCTGTAGTTGCAGATCAGACCTGCACAACGATCTGGAGTACTTTTGGACCACTCCTCTTCACAAAACTGTTTCAGTGTAGCAATATTCTTGGGATGTCTGGTGTGAATCGCTCTCTTAAGGTCATGCCACAAATATCAACAATCGGTTGAGGTCAGGACTCTGACTGGGCCACTCCAGAAGGCGTATTCTGTGCTGTTGCAGCCATTGTTTTGTTGAATTACTTGTATGCTTTGGGCCATTATCCTGTTGCATCACCCATCCTCTGCGGAGCTTCAGTTGGCAGACAGATGGTCGTATAAGCAGCCCCAAACATGTTCCTGCAAAATGTCTTCATAAACTCTGGAATTCATTTTCCCATCAATGCCAACAATCCGTCCAGGCCCTGAGGCAGCAAAGCAGCCCCAAACCATGATGCTCCCTCCGCCATGTTTTACAGTGGGGATGAGGTTTTGATGTTGGTGTGCTGTGCCTTTTTTTCTCCACACATAGTGTTGTGTGTTCTTCCCAAACAACTCAATCTTGGTTTCATCTGTCCACAGTATATTTTGCCAGTAGTGCTGTGGAACATCCAGGTGCTCTTTTGCAAACTTCAAACGTGCTGCAAATTCTCTTTTGGACAGCAATGGCTTCCTCCGTGGTGTCCTCCCATGTACTCCATTCTTGTTGAATGTTTTCCTTATTGTAGACGAGTGACAAAAACATGTTAGCATGTGCCAGAGATTTCTGTAGGTCTTTAGCTGACACTCTGGGATTCTTCTTTACCTCATGCAGCATTCTGCGCTGTGCTCTTGCAGTCATTTTTACAGGACCAAGATCCTGGGTCTTCCAGCCACCCCAACCTAGGGAGAGTAGCAACAGTGCTAAAACTTTCTCCATTTGTAGACAGTCTGTCTTACCGTGGACACATGAACATCAAGGCTTTTGGAGATACTTTTGTAACCTTTTCCAGCTTCATGCAAGTCAACAATTCTTGATCGTAGGTCTTCTGAATGCTCTTTTGTGAGGCATGATTTCACATCAGACAGTGCTTCTTGAAACCAGTAAACCCAAAAAGAGAGTGTGTGTTTTTTTTAAGGCCAGGACAGCTGTCAGCAACACATCCAATATCATCACACTGATTGGAGTCAAGGTTGGCTCACTCCTGGCTCCAATTAGCTCTGGGAGAAGTCATTAAGCTAGGGCCTCACATACTTTTTCCTCCCTGCACTGTGAATGTTTACATGTTTTATGTGCAATTAAACCATGGCAACATCTAATGTTTGTATAGTATTATGTTCCGCAGACTGTGTTCTTCTATTGTTGTGACTTAGATGATGTTCAGAGCACATTTTATGCCCGATTCATGCAAAACTCTCCACGTAATCCCAAGGGGTTCACATACTTTTTCTTGCAACTGTATATATATAGAAGGAGCTATACAAGTACCTGTAACAAATATTAAAAAATAAATATATATATATATATATATATATATATATATTGACGGAGCTATATAAGTTCCTGTAACAAATATTTAAAAAAAAAAAAAAAATATATATATATATATATATATATATTGACAGAGCTATATAAGTACCTGTAACAAATATAAATATATATAAAAATATATATATATATATATATATATATATATATATATATATATTGACGAAGCTATATAAGTACCTGTAACATTATTTAAAAAAAAAAATAGCAAATCATCCAAATAGCATGACACACAACAAGAGCAGGTGTTGACGTGTTTCACCCCAATGGGTGCTTCATCATGTTGTGAAACGCGTCAACTCTTGGAACACATCATCACTTGCTCTTGCTGTGTGTCATGCTATTGGACTTTTTTTTTTAGTGTATTTATAAGGGCAGCACAATGGCTAAATGGTTAGGACTTGTGCCTGGCAGTACTAGGGTCATTGGTTTGAATACCAACCAAGGCACCAACTGCCTGGAGTTTGCATGTCTCCTCCTGGTATTGCAGTTTCCTCCCACACTCCAAAGACATGCTGGTAGGTTAATTGGATCCTGTCTGAATTGACCCTAGAATGTATATGTATGAATGTGAGTTAGGGACTTTAGATAGTGTTGCGAATTAGGGACTGATGTGAATACTATATATATATATATATATATATATATATATACACACACACAAGTAAATTGACAGCACTATATAACTATATAAGTACCTGTAACAGATATTTAAAAAATAAAATAGCAAATCATCCAAATAGCATGAGACACAACAAGAGCAGATGTTGACGTGTTTCACCCCAATGGGTGCTTTATCATGCTGTGAAACATGTCAACTCTTGACACGCATCATCACTTGCTCTTGTTGTGTCTCATGCTGTTTGGATTGTTTTATTTTTTTCAATAAACATTTGGATCTTAACAACAGTGTGTGGTCCTCCACCTGTTTCCACATTGGATTGCCCACATTGACCTGCCCTCTACTGTTTCCTCCAATGCACCTTGTATGAAAGGCCTGTATAGATCAGGCCGGAGTGCCTTCAGTGCGTTTCAATGTTATAGACATGGAATCTGAAGGGCCACACAAGGTAAGCTGCATGGAATATCAAGACTTACATTGCCTCTGGGCATCTATCCGCTAAAGCAAAACATTTTTTTTTCAATACTCTTATTTGTTCATTTTCAGAATTGATAATAATATCTCCTCAATTTTCCGAAGCATAACATCGTATGCGTTATTTGTTCATTTTTATGATCGAAAATAAAGTTTTCTCGATCCACTATCGGTTTTATCACACAGATCGCTTGGATTTACCACATGCAAGTTATGTTATTGATTTTTACAGTATTGTGTGTTAGAAGCTATTCGGAAAAAAATTATCACATGTGGGTTTTTTGCTCTTCATAATAGCTTCAGCTGCCGTCTGGTGTTACAGTAAGTCTAAAGACAACCAATAAGATCTCACAGAAGCTTTAATATGTTGATGTCATTTACAAAGTGTTTTCAGTCTTTTTTTTTAGTCTGACGCTGTTGTGATGAAGATGTTTGTCAGGGGTGACAACTGTCTACCAATTGTGCTCCTGTGTTGTCAGCCCATCACATGTTCAGCTAGTAGAGGCTATCTGTGGCCATGCCAGCACGTGTTGTGTGTTTGTAGCTCACCCTTTAACCCCTTGTCTATCGGGGACTTACACCCCCTTCCAGGAGCGGACTGACAATTCATGGGCCCCCCGGGCAATAGGGGATCATGGGGCCCCTGTGTCCTTGCCCAAACTCAAAAAAGCCTATGAAAAAGGTACCAGGGGCATCTCATGGGGCTCCCTACTGACCCCAGGCCCTCGGGCAATGCCCCGAGTTTCCAAATGGTCAGTCCGCCCCTGCCCCCTTCCTATCCAGGCCAATTTTCAGCTTTCAGCGCTGTCACATTTTGAATGACAATTGCGCGGTCATGCAACACTGTACCCATATGAAATGTTTATAATTTTTTTTCACACAAATAGAGCTTTCTTTTGGTGGTATTTAATCACCACTGGGTGTTTTATTTTTGCGCTATAAACAAAAAAAAGCAACACATTTGAAAAAAAAAAGTGTTTCTTTGTTTCTATTATAACATTTTGGAAACAGGTCATTTTTCTCCTTCACTGATGTGTGTTGATGATGCTGCACTGATAGGCGGCACTGCTGGGCACTGACTGGTGGCACTGCTGGGTGGCACTGATGGGGAGCACTACTGGGCACAGATAGGTGGCACTGCTGGGCACATGTGGGTGGCACTGCTGGGTGGCACTGATGTGCACAGGTGGGTAGCACTGCTGGGTGGCACTGATGGGCACAGGTGGGCGGCACTGCTGGGCACAGGTGGGTGGCACTGCTGGTGGCACTGCTGGGCACAGGTGGGCGGCACTGCTGGGCACAGGTGGGTGGCACTGCTAGGTGGCACTGATGGGCACAGGTGGGCAGCACTGCTGGACACAAGTGGGTGGCACTGATGGGCACAGGTGGGCAGCACTGATGGGCACAGGTGGGTGGCACTGCTGTGTGGCACTGATGGGCACAGGTGGGTGGCACTGCTGTGTGGCACTGATGGGCACAGGTGGGCAGCACTGATGGGCACAGGTGGGTGGCACTGCTGGGCACTGATCATCAGGGCTCTGATCATCAGGTCACTGATGATCAGTTCCGATCCGTCCTCTGACAATTGCCGGTTATTGGCAGTACTTTCCTCATGCTGTGACAGCGCGAGGAATGTGCAGCCGATAACCGACAACTGTATTTACCTATGATCAGCTGTGTCATTGGACACAGCTGATCACGTGGTAAAAGGCCGCCGTGATTGGCCTTTTACCACATCACGTGATCAGCTGTGTCCGTAGGATACAGCGATCATGGAGATCGCCGGGTGAGCGCATATGATGCCCTTCCAGAGATGGACAACCGCGCCCTCACACCCAGGGCAGACTGACAACTCATGAGGCCCCCGGGCAATAGGGGATCATGGGGCCCTGTGTCCTTGCCCAAACTCAAAAAAGCCTATGAAAAAGGTACCAGGTGCATCTCATTGGGCCCCCTACTGACCCCGGGCCCTCAGGCAGTGCCCGAGTTTCCAAATGATCAGTCCACCCCTGCTCACACCTGTATACCTCCTATGGACCAGAGACATTTTTTTATTTCTGTTTTGTGGCTGTTTAGTTGGCAATACCTTTATATTACTTAAACTGGTTGTAAACCTCAGACATGAAATATGAACAAAGCATATCCCTCTATAGTGTGTACTCATTTAAAAATGTCATTTCTGTCTTCTGCTTCTTTCCTCTGCTATCAGCATGACAAGTTTTCCTGACACCAAGAGAAAAATGGTGACAGGGGAGGGATCTCCTGCAGATTGACAGCCTCAGCTCTGTTTCTGTGAGCTGTGTGAAGGGGGGGCAGGGGTGTCCCTTCCCACCAATCCTTGGTATAATTCAGCCCTGCTCCCTTTTTCTAAACTCTCATACAAGCTTTAGAAATTCTGTATTTTGATTGGATGTAGAGAAGAGAAGACCGCAGATAAACAGGTACAACGTATGTAGGAGGACTTGTTTCATCTTTGTGTATCACCTGAGGCCAGTCACTTCACTGGGTATATGGAAGGATTTACAACCACTTTAAGATAATAAAGCAAAACATATATTTATTGAGGACAAACAACGCTTTCTTTTGGCGATATTGTCTTGCAAAAGACAATAAATGTGACTATATTGAATGTTAGGACGGGAAAATTGTAGCGCAATAAACTACCTAATGCAATAAGGCTCCATGCACACTAGCATTTTTTTATAAGCTCAAAAAACGCTAGAAAAAACACTGATAATAGTGCCAACTAATAGTAGCATTTTAGTGGCGTTTAAAAGCGTTAGCATTGTTTATAGTACATGAAGGAAACAAATGCTTGAAAAAAGCTGTTAGGAGTGTTCTAGTAGTGTTTAGAAGCATTTAGGAGTGTTCAGCTTTTTTCCTGCCAGGAAAATGCTCCTAAATACTCTACAAATTTTTTTCTCTACTCCGAAACACTGAAGCTTGAAAAACTCTTCTAGCATAAAATAGTGTGCATAGACACATAGGATAACACTATTAGCTTCTAGGAGCAGAAAAAAATGCTCATAATAGCTTCTAGGAAATTAAAAAGATATTATTGTACATGGAACCTTAAAGTGCTACTAATCCCACAACCGTAAAATCAGTCTGTATATGCAGTAAAGCATGCTTGTTATACTCACTGCGGAACCTAAGGGGTTAATCCTTTGCAATGTGTAGAAAGGCTGTTTGATCCTGTCTTCTCTGCCCCTCCTCTTGTTGAAATGACCACCTGATACAGATCTCATACCAATGCTCAGTTTGGTGTGTAATTCTAGAGAGTTTTTTTTCTCTTCGGAGAGTGCATGTGATCAGCACAGGGCCAATCAGTGCTGTCCAGACAGAGGTCAGGTGTTTCACATCCTCCTAGAGCAGAAAGAAAACTCCTCCTGCAAGCTTTAACCAGTGCTCTGCTGAAGTCACAAGCCTGCTCTAACTGCTGATGAGAAAAGGTATTTAGCATAGTTTGCATTTCCATGTTCTGTGTAATGTGAAAGACCAGATATAGTGAATGCAGGGTCCTGAGAGACCGGATATAGTGAATGCAGGGTCTTGGGAGATCAGATATAGTGAATGCGGGGTCCTGGGAGACCAGATATAGTGAATGCAGGGTTCGGGGAGACCAGATATAGTGAATGCAGGGTCCTGGGAGATCAGATATAGTGAATGCAGGGTCCTGGGAGACCAGATATAGTGAAAGTAAGGTCCTGGGAGATCAGATATAGTGAATGTAGGGTCCTGGGAGATCAGATATAGTGAATGCAGGGTCCTGGGAAACCAGATATAGTGAATGTAGGGTCCTAGGAGGCCAGATATAGTGAATGCGGGGTCCTGGGAGACCAGATATAGTGAATGCGGGGTCCTGGGAGACCAGATATAGTGAATGCGGGGTCCTGGGAGACCAGATATAGTGAATGCAGGGTCCTGAGAGACCAGATATAGAGAATGCGGGGTCTTGAGAGACCAGATATAGAGAATGCGGGGTCTTGGGAGATCAGATATAGTGAATGCAGGCTCCTGGGAGACCAGATATAGAGAATGCAGGGTCCTGGAAGACAAGATATAGAGAATGCGGGGTCCTGGGAGACCAGATATAGTGAATGCGGGGTTCTGGGAGACCAGATATAGTGAATGCAGGCTCTTGGGAGACCAGATATAGAGAATGCGGGCTCCTGGGAGACCAGATATAGTGAATGCAGGGTCCTGGGAGATCAGATATAGTGAATGCAGGGTCCTGAGAGACCGGATATAGTGAATGCAGGGTCCTAGAAGATCGAATATAGTGAACACGGGGTCCTGGGAGACCAGATATAGTGAATGCAGGGTCCTGGGAGACCGGATATAGTGAATGTGGGGTCCTGGGAGATCACATATAGTGAATGCAGTGAATGCAGGGTCCTGGGAGACCAGATATAGTGAATGCGGGGTCCTGGGAGACCAGATATAGTGAATGCAGGGTCCTGGGAGACCACATATAGCGAATGCAGGGTCCGGGGAGACCAGATATAGTGAATGCAGGGTCCGGGGAGACCAGATATAGTGAATGCAGGGTCCGGGGAGACCAGATATAGTGAATGCAGGGTCCAGGGAGACCAGATATAGTGAATGCAGGATCCTGGGAGACCAGATATAGTGAATGCAGGGTCCTGGGAGATCAGATATAGTGAATGCGGGGTCCTGGGAGACCAGATATAGTGAATGCAGGGTCCTGGGAGATCAGATATAGTGAATGCAGGGTCCTGGGAGATCACATATAGTGAATGCAGGGTCCTGGGAGATCAGATATAGTGAATGCAGGGTCCTGGGAGACCAGATATAGTGAATGCAGAGTCCTGGGAGACCAGATATAGTGAATGCAGGATCCTGGGAGACCAGATATAGTGAATGCAGGGTCCTGGGAGATCAGATATAGTGAATGCGGGGTCCTGGGAGACCAGATATAGTGAATGCAGGGTCCTGGGAGACCAGATATAGTGAATGCAGGGTCCTGGGAGATCACATATAGTGAATGCAGGGTCCTGGGAGACCAGATATAGTGAATGCAGAGTCCTGGGAGACCAGATATAGTGAATGCAGAGTCCTGGGAGACCAGATATAGTGAATGCGGGGTCCTGAGTTTAGTAACACTTTAAACGGTTAGTACTTCCAAAAGTGATATTTTCATTATAGGAGGAGTCAGGTAGGTGAATATTTATTACCAGTGATTTTTATTTTCTACAATCAGATTCTTTTATTCCCTAATATTCCCAGTTTAAAGGACTCGTTCAATAAGACAGCACAGACAGCCTAAGGATGTGCAATGTGCAGTCACCAAAGCGTCCTTCAGAATGTATTACCGCACAGCAACCAATCAGAATCAAGCCTGTCCTGGAAAATGACAGCTTGAGAATGAATGTTTGAATTCTCCTTGTATTATTGTGACATTGGTACGCTGAATACTGATTGGTTACTATGAGTTGCGACATTGTGCAACAGTTTTTTTTTTAAACCCATATCAGTATTGCATGACGTTCTGTAAAAAGTGTGAAGTTTCAGTAACACCCTTTATTGGGTGTTTATTGTACTGATTACAGCAGTATTAACCAACAAGTCAAAAAACTGAATATATTTGAAGCTTACCAATTCTTAAATGCGTTGGCTGCATTCATTTTCTTTCTTTATTTCCTTTTTTCACCTATTGATCCTGCAAGTGATTTATTTTTTCAACTTATTTTAACAGACCAAGCTAGACAAAGTAGCAGTTAGAGGGTTGAAACCAACCATTTACCACTCACAGGGGTGCTTACTACTATGATCAGCCTTTATTAATGAATATAGAAATGTATCCCAAAAGTGAAAAAAAAACAAAAAAAAAAACCTGTTTCTTCAAATGAAGAAGAGGTGTTGGGTAGGGTTCGGCGCTGGATTGTTAGCCATCCAAATCTAGTACTAATACTACCCTCCCCCAACATTGGCATGCTGCTAACCAAAAGGTGACTCCATTGCTTCTACATCCAGAGTGGAGACACCCTGAGCCCTGGTTCACACCTATGCGGTTTTTAGTGAATTTTGCAGAAAGTCCATTTAACATGGTTTCCTATGGATCTAGTTCACATCTGTTCATTTTGAGCCTCCTTTTTTTGTGGTTTGGTTGTGTGGTTTAGGTCAGGGGCGGACTGACCATTTGGAAACTCGGGGCCCGGGATCAGTAGGGGGCCCCATGAGATGCCCCTGGTACCTTTTTCATAGGTTTTTTTGAGTTTGGGCAAGGACACAGGGGCCCCATGATCCCCTATTGCCCAGGGGCCCCCCATGAGTTGTCAGTCCGCCCCTGGTTTAGGTGCATTGAATTTTAGGTGCCTTTTACATGCGTTTTGGATAGAGTTACTATTATATGTGTGTTTTGATGAAAGCACATGAAAGATTCACCAGGAGGATTTCTTTTTTTTTTTTTTTTTAATGCACTGCATCTAAAGTGCATGTAAAACAGGCAGAAGAGCCCTGGGGCCATCCTAAAATCTATAAAATATAGCTCTGAGTTTAAAATATCAAAATTCTTGCTCTGAAACTCAGAATTTTGTTAAATGAATTTTAGGATAGCCCCAGGGCTCTTCCATAAAAATACACAGATGCAAATAGAGCTTAAAAAAATATATTAAAAACAAAAGGAATTAAAAAGAAAAAATAAGTTAATAATAGAAATTAAAAAAAAAAACAGAAAAACACTAAGAGGATAAGGAGAAAGGAAGTTAATTAGGTCTTATGAGGTGAATAGGAACACACACACCCTCAGGGGCGGACTGACCATTTGGAAACTCGGGCACTGCCTGAGGGCCCGGGGTCAGTAGGGGGCCCCATGAGATGTCCCTGTTACCTTTTTCATAGGGCAAGGACAAAGGGGCCCCATGATCCCCTATTGCCTGGGGGCCCCATGAGTTGTCAGTCCGCCCCTGCACACACACACACATATTTGTTTTTATTTATTTATTTATATTTTACATTTCTTTCTTTATTTATTTGCTTATTTTAAATTATCAGATTGCTTTACAGTGGTTCTAAAGGCAGAAGGTATGCATGAAGGTAAAAAAAAACCTTCTGGGTGCAGCTCCCAACCATTCCAGCCCCCCAATACTTACCTGCGTCTGCTCCCAAGATCATGTACATGAGAGCATGGCTCTCTCCCTCTTCATTGGTTTAGAGACAGCAGTTGGAGCCATTGGCCCCCACTGCTGTCAATTACAGCTCGTGAGGAAGAAGTCGGGGGGGGGGGGGGGCTGAGCTGCGCTCTCTGTGTCAATGGACACATGGGGGTTTATTTACTAAAGCTGGAGAGTCCAAAATCAGACTCCCTTCTGCATAGAAACCAATCAGCTTCTAACCTCAGCTTGTTCAATGAAGCTTTGGCAATGAAACCTGGAAGCTGATTGGTTTCTATGCAGAAGGGAGTCTGATTTTGCACTCTCCAGCTTTAGTAAATAAACCCCATAGAGTTGGGCTCGGGAGCGAGCATGCATGGGTGCCCCCATAGCCAACTGCCTGCTATAGGGGTACTCAACAGGGGGGAGGAGTCAGAAGCGCCGGCGGGAGACTCGAGAAGAGGAGGATTGTGGCTACTCTGTGCAGAATCATTGCACAGAGCAGGTAAGAATATCATGCTTTTTTTTTTAACTGACATCCATTGCTGATCAAAGCACACCCCTTTGATCTGCAGATGAATTAAACAGAATAAATACAAGATTTACTTTATATCTCTACATCTTGAATCTGAACAGTATTTGTAAACACTGTGTTAGAAGGTCCATTTTTAAAATCAGCAACTGTAATGGCTGCTGGATTTACACAACAACTCCTGGCTGTCATTGTGACAGCCGGGAATTGCCTACAAATGAGACACGGTGCAGCAACGTGGCAGAAGGACAAGACGCTACACACTTCCTGTGTAGTTTGAGAACATTTTTGGGGATGCATGTGCAGCACATCGAGAGTTTAATTTACTAAAATTGGAGAAAGCAAAATCTGGTGCAGCTGTGCATGGTAGCCAATCAGCTTCTAACTTCAACTTGTTTAATTAACCACTTACCCTCCAGAGGATTTCCCCCCCCCTTCCTGACCGGGCCATTTTTGCGATACGGCTCTGTGTTGATGAATACATTTTGGCTCAAATTTATGATGAAATTTGTTTTTTTTTAATTTTTTTTACTGAACATATTTAACCTCCCTGGCGGTATGATTATTTCAGATTTTTGGTGCTGAAAGCGGTATTTTATTTTGCATGGAAATATGTATTTTTTTTATTGTAGGCTGTAATTTTGAAAAACTTGAAATCTGTCCGAACAAGAGTCTAGTAAACATCCCGGGTATGATTTGGAAACACAAAATCATAAAAAATTTTAATAAATAATCATAAAAAATAATTTTAATTCAATAATATAATCAAACCAAAAACACTGAAATTGAAATAGAGCGCCAAGTTCGCACATTGCTGAGCTCAGTCGCAAAATCGTTTTCAGTTTCTGATGACGAATTTCCCCCACGAAATCACTCAATTCTGTAAGTGGTTCTGATTTACTATCGCTGTTCTCTAGCTGATCTAAACCGCTTTTGACCTAAAGGGACACTTTTTGGACGCCATGGACGTTTCTCAGTTTCAGGCAGAAAGAACAGACAAAATGCAGGCAGGGCACAGGACAAAGCTAGGGACAATATGTATGTGAAATAGGTTGAAACAGCAATGTTTTACTGTGTAAAATGAAAAAAAAAAAAAAAGACATTTTTTTAAAATTTTTAAATTTCC